AGTGGAAGGAAAGATAGCCTCTTTAATAAATGGTGTTGGAAAAACTGGCTTTTGCCTTGCCAAAGGTTAAAAGTAGACCCCTATCTTTCACCATGCACTAAACTAAAATCAAAGTGGATTAAAGATCTAAATATTAAAACAGAAACACTAAACTTGTTGGAAGATAAGCTAGGTAGGTAGAACTTTTGAAGACATTGCATAGGAAAAGACTTTATGTACAAATCTTTAGTAACATGGAAAATAGCACAAAGAATCAACAACTGAGATCTCATCTTATTGAAAATCTGCACTGCAAGAGAAACCACCAACAGAGCTAAGAGTCAACCTACAATATGGGAAATAATTTTTACCAGCTGTTCCTCGGACAAAGGTCTACTATCTAGAATATATAAAATACTCAAAAAATCAAGCCCCCCAAATATAAAGATCCACTTCAAAAATGGGCATCTGAAATGAGCAGACATTTCTCAGACAGAAGAAAAAGCAGCAAATAAATGTATGAAAAAATGTTCAACATCACTGTTCATTCAAGAGATGCAGATGAAAACAATACTGAGATTCTACCTCAACCCAGAAAGAATGGCTGCTATCAAGAAATCAAGCAATAAGAAATGCTGGCAGGGGTGTGGGTAGAAAGGTACCCTTCATTGTTGGTGGGAGTGCAGACTGGTGTAACCATTGTGGAAGTCAATTTAGAGATATCTTAAAAAACTAGGATTGGAAGTCCCATTTGACCCAGATATTCCTCTGCTGAGTGTCTTCCCCAAAAGAATTAAAAGAATCATACCACAGTGCTTACCCATGTTTATAGAGGCACAGTTTGTAATAGCTAAAACTTGGAGACAGCACAATTGCCAATCAACTGGAGACTGGATAAAAAAGATGTGGGGTTTTTGTTGTTGTTTGGTTGTTTTTTACAAAATTGAGTACTATCAGCCATAAAGAACAAGAAACTAGAGACAATTATAGCTAAATGGATTCACATTGAGAACATACTCTTAAGTGAAATTCATAGGACACACTTGTAGATACTGTATAGTTTCTCTGGTGTGATAAACTAAAAGTGTAAATAAGAGTCAAAATGTATAATTTATATTTTGTTATAGGAAGAAAAGGTCTAAAGGTATTCTGCAAATGGGAGATGTAGGGCAAAGGTAAAAAGGAAAGAGAAAAAAATGAAAGGAAAAAATGGAAGCAAAGTCTTTGTACATAGGGAGGGGTGAAGGAGAGAAGGGAGGCTAGGGCAATGGGGAAAAAATAAGAACCAAGATACATCATGTAAAGATACAAGATCCCAGTAATGAATGAGTGAAGTTAGAGTACATGGAGTTTCTAAACAGTATATAGAGAAATACAGAAAAATCCAACATAAGTCAGAGAAAAAAAGCAAAGAAAATGATGCTAAGCATAAAATGTGTAATAATATATAAAAATAAGTCCACATAAATCTGTAACACAGGAGACATGTATGAAGGTAAACATTATAAGAATAGTTACATGTATCAGTGTAAATAATTGACCAATAACAATTGTGTATGAAATATGTTGAACACTCTAAACAATATATATTTTAATAAAGATATTCTGTACAAAAGTGTAAAATGTTCTCGAAAATGATGACTCCAAATTCATGGAAGTGTTTTACTTTGGGGCTGGGAGAGAAGGAAGCATAAGGACTGGTAAGTGTAATATGTGGGACAGGATGAAGGATTGTTCTAAAACTTGAAATAAAATAACAAGCATTTTTCTAAAATTTAAAGGAAGGCTTATATTGAAAATGTCACTTTCTCAATTTGTAAAAAACAGCATTTATTTTCATATGCCCATATATGCTTGTATATGTATAGACTTTCTCTTGAAGGATACGCAACAACCCCAGTAGAGAGGATGTGTAGTATTGCACATATATATATATATATATATATATAAAACATATGTATACATACATAACATAATAAACATAATAAAACATGTTTGCTATCATTACTTAACAAGTAGATATCTTATGAATGTGTACAGTTTTTATAAAAGTAAGTGTCAGAAATGTGGGAATAGTATGTAAGAAAAAATAAGAAAGCTTTCTAATTTACCAATTTCTATATTGTTTTTTAAAGGAAATTTATTTTTTTCTATAGTGATAGAATTATGTTAATAATGACTCTTAGAAATACAATAAAAATAAACAACATTTAAATGATGGTGTTTTTACAGTGCATGTAATGGCCAGTCAACTCAAACTAAACCAAATTTCCATAACCCTTGCACACCAAAAAAAGGCTTTATATACCCGGCAAGTTTCTCCACAATCCGTGTAATCATATCCTACAAACATGCACTAGTAAAAATCTGTAAAACTTTAAAAAATGAAATAGATCTGGTTCTGTCTTCTCTACACATGGACCCAGGAGCACAACTGATATTATCAAAATTTGCTTTCATCCGGTGCTAGTGGGATACAACTATGATGAGACAACCTCAATCTTAGGCCTGAGGGGATGGCAGCTAAAGTTCGTCCTTGACACAAAGATACCAAGAAAAGACATGCTGGCCACATAAGCCTATGTCTGATAATGGAGACTGGACAGCCAGAAAGTTTATAACTTGGAAGGTAGCCACTAGAGCCTAGACAGGAAATGAGACTTTGGGAATTAAGAAACTGAATGAAGTGTTTTTAGTAGCACATTTGCAGTATATAATGCACATATCCCTTGTGTGGAGTTGGTACATGTACATAGCACATATTAATTATTGTTTCATCCCTTTTCCTTCCTCTTTCTCCTTCCCTCCCTGCCTCCCTCCATTTTCTCCATCCCCTCCCCATCTGAGAAAGATCTGTCTACCTACTTCTTATTAGCTGTCTTTTACTTTGTTCTCTAAAATTTAGATTTTTTCATTTAAGAGAAATCATGGAATATTTACACTTATGGGTCTGATTTATTTCATTTAACGTTATTTTCCCAAAGTGCATTCATTTTCCTACACGAGTTAAATTTATCTTTCTTCAGTGCCTACTATGTGTAGAGTGAAAGTAAAATGTTCAATATTACATTAAGCATGAAAATTTAAGTAAAGTTACCATGATCACATTTTCATTATGGACATTTCTAGACAAAATCTAAACTTTCTGATTTCCTTTAAGAACATTCCCTTTATGTTAATACATGGTGTTACATAAAGTATGGATTACATAAATGTATGGTATTATATAAAGTATGATATGCTTCTTCAAGGATATTTCACACTTTTACTATTGAGTTAATTTCCTTATTGACCATATATTTTGCTGTTTTTAGGTACTTAGGATTAACAATATTTATTTATCTAAATTTTTTATCACCTGTCCAGTATTTGATAGGAATTCCTTAAATCCACACAACAGGATGTTTGAGGTTTCCTAAGTTGAATGTGACGCATCTATTTTTTGTGATTCTTTTAAACTTGCCATTAGTCATAGTATCTGTGCCTTCCAAGTTATCATTTCAATCACACTTTTAGTACAGTGAAAAATAGCAAAGCAGTTAATAATTGACATCAAGAACCAACCAGTTTAGTTTAAATTCTTTTTGCACTTTTTGAGAATGTTTCATCTATTGTGGAATACAGCATGTTAAGAAAAGTATTCAATCATTTTAAATTTAAGTAAGAAGTTATTCTTTCCTCTAGTCCAGGTAAAGAACAAATTAATATCTTATGCATAAACTTCTATACAAAGATCTAAACTACATGGCATTAATGAGCATTCTCTAATGTTCCCTTACATTACACTAATTAATTTTCCTATAATTAGGATTTCATGATTTTTCTTATGACTACATTCTTAAGAAGAAAATAATTCCAGTGAAATCACATGTGTTCAGCAAAATTCTGAAACTCCACTTCTAAATTTTCAATTATTGACATTGGTGTTGTGAGGATTGTTATCTATGAGCTCTGTATTATATGTCAAACATCATTTAAAGAAAAAGACAATCTTTTCCTGTAAATTAAACTTTAATAAACACTACTAAAACCTGACTTATCAGTACCATATTTAAAAAGTTAATGTTGAAAACTTTTTTGACACTGTTTAAAGTCTAACAGAAATGGTGGTGAGAATGCAACAAATTATTTTTAAATTACTACTTTAAACCTTTTCCAAAAGAATCCCTATAGATAACAGTAACGAACTGCACATTTCAAAAAGCTAGAAGAAAATATGTTGAACATTTTTCACCATAAAGACATGAGAGATGTTTGAGATGATAGATACGCTTAACCTTAATTAACTATTACACAATGTATATATGTATCAAAGCATAATATTACCCATTAATAGGTATAATTTTATATATCAGTTAAATATTAATCTAAATATTTAAAAAAGCTGATCATCTTTAAAACTTGAATATTACAGTTAGGGGTCATCAGTAGCATCATTTAAATACAATATCCCTAACATCCAAGGTTGTTGTCATTCTCATTATGGGCCTTGTTTCTCTGCAAAAAGGAATAGAAAAGGTTAAATCATATCTGTAAGAATCAGATTGCAGTCCTGTGTATTACTTCACATTAAATATCAAAGATAGCTTAACAACATTTTGAATTTTCTGAGTTTTACTATTAATAAAGTTAAAAGAAAATCTAGTGTGTTCAGGCAGTGGAGCCACATTAAATTTGTGTGTGAAATACCCATTGTGCTTATCTCTACTGGAGATATTGCTCCGAACCTGTGTTCCACATTCTGAATACTATGTATAAAGTTAAACATTGCAGAAGGCCATATATCTGATGATGCAGATAAAATAAGGTTGAAGTTTAGTAATGAGAAAAGTTGGTTAATTTAATATATTCTTGACTTTAGTATTTTTGTAAATATATTTGGAATATTTTGTGGGGAATCATTATACTACTAAAATATTGTAGGTTTTTAAACTAACAGAAATGCAAGATTCAAATTGTACTAATCCATTTTTACAAAAAGAATTAATACTATATTTTCAAAATGTATTAATCACTTGCAGGTAAAGTTGTTATCAATGCATCAAGCAAAAGAAACTGCAGTTGAACAATACAAAAAACTAGAGGAAGAAATTCAGACACTACGAGTTTACTACAGGTAAATTGTTTTTACCTTGGGATTAAGTAAGTATTATTGGTTTAGAAAATGTTTTTGCCTGATTTTGCAGTAGCAGATGAGTATATATCCTTTGTGAAATTTAACATTATGTATTGAAAGCATTTTATATTTTTAAGAATGATTTAGGCATAAAATATTCAATATTGTACCTCTTTTCCTTCCAACATTTGGTAAAATTTAAATTTATACTCCCATTCAAATTATGAAATTTACATTACTAGTTATCTAAATGAACCCTGGCTAGCTATTGAACAGTTGAGTTGTTGCCCTTCTGGATTCCACCTCTAAAATGATGATGTCTGTTTTTAAAATAGTACATGAGTAGTAGTCATAACATTTTACCTGTTAAAATATGTTAGGAGGCATTTCTAAAGAAATGTCACTAAAAGATTTTTAACAGGTTTACTTAATTTATGTTCCAGGAGTAGTTATGAAATGAATTCAGTTAGTCAAAACTGGCAAATTTTTTTTGATGAAAAGAATTAGAATAGAAAATGCCAGAGTGCATACCTTATATTGTTTTGTGATCTGTTTGTTGCAATTTTGAGCTAAGTGAAAGAGAGCTAAGACTGCATATTGGGTTATTTGTAAAATATGTATTCTCATAGTGGGTCACAGTAAAAATAAAAGTTTAACAGCACTAATGTATAATACTCTATATATTGTTTGATTACTAAGTTTATAAAACCTTAAGTCTAACTAAGACTATAGGTTATTAAACTTTTAAAAATTTAGACCTCTTCTCAGAATGTTTAATGCCTACACTGCAATTAAAATTAGTTTTACTGTAATGAGATCATGAAAGTATTATGTAATAATATATTACTGTTTGTATGCATCATTGTTAATGTATTAAATCATTAGATGTAGCAGATCTATGATAACTATAATTTCAATCTAGTTATTATTGTTAATATTATTTTGTGATAATTAAAAATACTAAAGTGCAACATTAAAATACTAGTGACTTGTATAGCTGCTAACTCTTAAGAACCGCTTATGCTACCACTGTGATTTATTACTGTGCTCATAATGCTAGGGAACACTGTACTTCCATGAGAATTAGAGAATATAAAAATTAATTATTTTCTCATTCCCAAGTTAAGAACACCTGCTTTGGAGAAGTGTCACTGACATTTGTAATAGTTGGTTACTCTTATGGATTAAATTTTGTCTTTTCTCCCTTCTCCCCACCAAAAAAAAAAAAAAAAAACGCTGAACTCCTAATTTCCAGTAATTCAGAATGTGACCTTATTTTGAAATAGGGTCATTAGAGAGGCAGTCAATTTAAACTGAAATCATTAGAGTAAATTCTAATACAGTATGACTGGATGACTGGTGTGTTCCTAAAAATATTGGAAATCTTGATACAGAGCGGGAGTGGGGAAGAGAATCTGAAGGCATGCAAAGAAGACAGCTGTATGGCTAGAGTACTGTGTATACAAACAAGGAGTGCCAGGGACTACCAGAAACACAGAGGGATTTCATTCCTCGCTCTCAGAGAGAATGCAGCCTAGCTGAAACTTAATTTCAAAATTCTGGTATCCAGAACTGGGTGACATTAAATTTCTATTACTTAAGCCACCACATTTATGCCGCTTTGTTACAGCAGTTCTAGGAAATTAATACAGCTATCAATTATTATTTACCAGTAACAATCTGCATTTATAAGACACACTGCTTTGTCTATAAGCAGGTAGGCAAATTCTGATGGTGAAGGAATACATCTTACCAAGGATTTTTTGTTTGTTTGTTTTAGACTGTAAAGTGTATATTACAATCTTCTCTCTCTCTCTACTTGATACTAGTGAATCTCAACTGCAGCTTCTGTTAGAATCATTTGAGAAGCCTCTAAAAATTCTGGTGCCTGACCCAACACAGGTCAAATACATTAGGTGTCAGCATGTTTTGAAGCTCCCTAGAGATCCTCATACATAGCCAAGTTTGAGAATTAATGTTTTATGTGTGTATTTCAGTTAGTTGCATTAAGTTACAGTCTTGGCAAAATAATAAAAAGAGGTCTAAATTAAGATTTGTGAATATTGTGTGATTTGTGTCCTGGCCATGGATATTATGGTATGGAAAGTAGTAGATTTACTCTATTGTTACAAAGGGTTTCAATGGCACCTTCTCCTGCAATCTTTATGAGTTATATTGATGAAGTGACAGTATCAAGAATTGCAGGATGTGTATAATAATTTTCATGAACTAGCATTACTCTCTGAAAAATAAAACTTTGATTCTGTTTCTTAAGGATGCTTCTCTTTGTTGAATTGAAGAAGATTATTGAATTATTTTTCTGAATTATAAAATTAAAGTATTTTTCATATCCCTTTTTAAATCTACATGAATCTAAGAGTAACGTGATCTAAATAAAATTAGCAGTTATTGGATCAATTATGCTTTATAAGTAACCTTATAATTGCTGCTTTTAAGAAAATCACTGGTTATGTAGTAAAGCTACTGGGATTTGGAGTCAGCTACACATGGTGTGGCTTTCATAAATTAACGTGACCAAATCCATTTCATTTTTAAAATGAGAACAGTAGTATTTATTTCAGAGGGTTAAATAGATAAAACTTTTAGCCCAGTACTGTTCTTGGCTCATTGTTTGTGCTCAGCCTGTGTTAAAATAAATTTACTGGGAATCCCTAAAACATTACTGGTAACTTATTCAGTAGACTCCAGTCTCCTGCCCAGTGTACAACACAGGCATGAAAAAAAACCCCAAAACTAAAAGATAGAACTAAGAGAGACAGAAAGAGGAGAGCCAGGATGACCAATGCACGTGCAACCGACAAAGGTGCTGGCCAGTCCAAGCAAGCCACTGATTTTTTTTGGTTATCAACTGGGGTGAAGGTGAGCTATGTAAAAGGGCAGAACTATATGGGAGGACATGCAGTCATGCAGTTTCTGTGGAAATTAAACAAGGCTTGTAAAGTACAAGACAAAGCATTCTCAAATTAGGAACAGAATAGACAAAATATATGGTTTTTATTAGAACATTGTCCTTTTAGTTAGAAGGTTTTAGTTGTGGGAATGGAATTTGATACGTTACTCTGACCTTGGCACATAGGGTTCAGCTAGACCCACTTCTATAAACAAGCCAATTGTGGGGTTAACTCTGTACAGCCTGCACTGCTTACAGCGTGCTTTGGGCATAATCAGTATTGCAGTCTCCCACAAATTTTTCTTTTTTCTTTTTTTTTTTTTTTTTTT